CTCATTGTAAAAGTGAAATCGCCTCGTGTTTGGGATGTTATTTGTAGCACATTAGTATTGTATCGCAGTACGCCGGGGTTAGACCGGGGCGTTAGAGTGTTTAAGGGTGATTACACGCAACGACAGGGGTGGCTTTATTGGAGGAGGTTGCCAGTGATGCTCATTCGCCATAATGCCAGATTCCCACAATATATGTATAATAAGACATTTACTATATTCCTTTATCATAAACTAAATCTCAAACAATATTGTACAGAATATTCCTTTGATATTTCATATTATTAATTTATCCGTAGTTCGATAAGTGTTTATTAAATTTATAAAACGATTTGCACACGGCGTGACGTAGTGCGAAAATCGCGTCGAAAATCAGAAGATTTGAACGAATCAATTCACCTGGCCCGTCTCGTTTAACTAAATACCGCCTCTTAATGGAATTGATTTAACTCGCACGCTGTACGAGTCACGCTGCATCGTCAATTATCCTCGAACCTCCGTATCCGCAGTGCGGACGTACATAGGCGACTAGAAATCGTGCCCTTTTCTATCGTCACGCTTCCTGTCCACGAGCAAATCGAAATGAGAACAACTGTATAGGATTGAATTTGCACGACAGTTTGACAGGGCCCGAAGGAGAAGAGGGGGGAATAGTATAGGGCTAGGGTAGAGAAGGAAGGGGTACAAAAAGCACGGTGAATAATAGACTCCAACCCTCTCTAAACATCTCCCTTCTCTATGCATACCACGGCCACGGTGCCTTGGACCAGGCTCTAGACTTATATCCGAAACGCGTTCGCCCCTTCTTACCCATCGTCGTGCTACATTCTTGATAGAGCTTTGATAAACTTGTAATACACCCATAGCAAAAATAACTCTCACGTTCCCTTACAAGTGGAAGAATTTACTGAAAGAATATTCTATTCTGAATATCAATCATGGATTTTTAATATAAATACCGCCGGGCTGTACCCTATTTTGAACAATAAGAAGCGATATGCTTTTTCTATTAAAACATGAATGCAAGTTTTAAACGCAAGCGAAACCGCAGACGCGTGAAATATACATTGACACTTCTCGCGGATTGGCAACTCTTTTACCGAGTCGAAGGTCATCACAGTCGTCAAACAATAGACGAAATCTGTTAAGACCGGCACGAGCGACAATGCGTTCGACGTGGCGTGATCGGCTCTCGAATACCTTTTTACCGGCGCTAATCCGAATTCGTCTGGGAGGATAAAGCGATCACCGTCCCGGAACGATGCGCTCTCGAACAAGGGATGTTGATGGGGGAATCGTTTAGAAGAGGAGAGAAAAGTAGGAGGGGTGAAATGAATAAACTGGCAACAACCGATGGAAAAGTGATTTTTGGCCTGATATGAGCGGACCTCGACGAGTACCTCGTCACCGTATGGCGATGGTGATCGACGAAAGCTGTTACCCGGCCGCCAGAACGACATTAACGTCGATATTTCCCTGTAAACGACCACTATGTTTGGCCGGTACAACGTAGGGCGCCGTACTCCTGGGCGAAGCTAGGATTTTCCAGATCCGACTGCAAAGCGTGCCGCTCCGCGCCAGAGCAAAGTGGTTTTCTGTCAAAAGTAACGGGGCATGGCGTGAACGCGATTTCGGCCACGATCTGAGCGTATAGTTCTACGCGCACGAAACGGAAGGGAAAATTCCACGCCCGTTCTGTCTCACCTTCTTTTCATATTCGATATTTCAACTCTGGTGCACCATACATTTTTGTTACGTTCTATTGGTACTCCGCGAGGGAAAGCGTAGTGATCAAAACAATGAAAATTGAAACATTCGTTATTTTAAAATTCATTTCTGGACTTGAT